TATATATTACACCTTTCAAAGTTAGACTAGATTATTAAAAAGGATGTAGAACCAACAAACGAAAATTTAATTTTGATTTTTTCAAAAATGATATTTCAGTATATTCTAATGGTTTATTCTTTCCGTTTTTATATATTTTTCTTATTATTAGATCCGAAAATTATTTTTTAATCATCATTTAATTAAATGTAGTATAGATAAAAAATGCAAAAAAAAAAAAATATATATATATATAGTTTATTGGGACGTGTAAATTTTTGCTAATTTAATAAATTTCCTTTTTCTTTTTTTTTCCATATAATCCATGTATTCCTAAAATTAACTTAAAACTGATAACATTAATCAAGTCTTGTAAAATTGTTGTTGAGTTTGTGCAGCGCATCGTATATACGTGTAGTGAAAATTGAAGCTATTATTATGTGGAAGATGTTTTGTTTTTGACTTAAGGAAATATCTATTACAATATTTTTAGACCACAGATTGTATATATGGACTAGAATATAAAAGGTCATTGCAATTCAGACAATGAGGTATACAAATGTGAATAATGACTGGGACCAAGAAAAAGACTAAACAAAGAAGAGGAACGTTCGCGGCAATTTACTTTGTCTCCCTCTTTATCATACATACAATTTACTTTTTAGCATCATCTAGAGATCCAGACGTCTCTTTTTCTAAGGAAGTTGAGATCTTGCTCAAGAGAAAAAGTGGAAAAGAAAATATTGGAATAAATTTCGTTTATTAGTTATCAACAACTCGGCTCGTAGTACGTACAAATACTTTTTTTGTTTTTTTAGAACTACGTACAAATACTTAAAGTGGAGTTTCCTTCGAACAATACTTTCGAGTGATAGTCCGATGTCATTCCGTTTCACTAGACCTATCAGCAACTAGTTGTATAATTTGTTGCGTTTTATTGGTATTTGAAGTTTAATTGGTATTTGCTTTGTGTCTTTATCGAGTTAAAAGTGTGTTTTATAGTCATTATTCATATATCAAGCCATTTCATGTTTTATGTTGCTTTTAGAAGAAAACAAGTCATTTTCAGTTCAACATTGCAATTGTAGATACAAGATCATGCATAATCGCCATAAGTGAACCATTTGTTGAAAAATAATATAATAGATAATTCCTTAGTCAAAATAATATAAGAGTGATGCATTAACCATGATTATAGATAACTAGATTAAGACCCGCGTTTAAAAATTATTAATATAAATATTTTAGTCTTAATTAGTATCTTGCTGAATTACAAAAAATATTTTGAAATACTATTTAAACATTTGTATTAAATCATTATAAATCAGTTAATATTTTAATTTTCATGTCATAATTCATATCATGCAGACCCATATATGTAAATAAGTGAAAAATATTCTTATCCATTAAGAATATACTACATTGACGGCTCGTGGAAAGAAAACGACCGTATATGTGGTGTAGGTTGGATCCTCAAACTACATGATGGCTCTATTGACCTCTTAGGCATTCACGGTGATAATGAAACCATTTCACCCCTCCACTGAGAGGTTTTGAGCCTCTTATGTGCAATGGAGAGTTTGAAGCGAAAAAAAGGTTTTGTAATTGTTTCATCAGGGACTCAAAGGAACTCACTATGATGATCGTATACTCGAGGGAATGGCCACGTTTTCATCGAAATTGAATGAACTATCCAAGTTACGGCAGTTATTTATATTGTTTGAGCTGGTATATCAACCCAGAGACAAGAATGTGAAAGTTGACCTACTCGCAATGAATGCAAGGGACCATAACACTATTTTCTCTTTACTGGCACTTCTATTCTATTTTGGTTCGTAGATAAAAATTTTGTATTTACTTAATAAAATGAAGAATTGTTGTGAAAATAAAAAAAAATTAAGTATGTGATAAAATCGTAATAACAATTCAAATATTATATGTTAAATCAGAAAATAAATTTCATGTAAATGATCTCATAAAAACCTATATAATAGTTTATAAATATTTTTATCAAGCGTCACATATAAATTCACCATTGATAAATGTAAGCCATTGATGTCATTAGTTCTTACTCATAAAGATTATACTCGTCAAACCTTAGAAACTCTGGGATTTTAATAGTGAATA